CTGGCACTGACCTCGTGTGTCTGTGCGGCATGTGGAGGTCTCTGCCCTTCGCTCTGCGGTGAGCGCGCAGGAGAAGGAGCTGCAGGTGCAGGCCTCGGACATCGAGTCCCTGACCCGGAGCGTCCAGAGCAAAGAGGACCTCATCAAGGTGGGCTCACGGCAGTCCCCCGACGTACTCTGCCCAGGGAGGCCAGTGCAGGCCCCTCCCCCACCGCGCTGCCGGTAGCCAGCGCGCGGCGGTCAGAGCCAGGAAGCCGCGTTTCCATGGTGCCCAGCAGTGGGGTGGGTGCCTGCGGAGCCCCAGAGCTGTAGTCGTGGTCTCACGCATGGCTCTTGTGTCCCCTTGGGGCTGGCTCCCAGGCCTCGTGCCGTGGCACCGTGAAACACGAGGAGCTGGCAACCCAGGGCTCCATCTGGCATCTGCCCGGAGGCTCCTTTCGGGGGCGGGCGCAGCGCTCCCCTCGCTACAGGCCTGGGCGCTGGCGTCTCCCAGGATCTTTGGGATTCCAGCCCCGCTCCGGGGTGTGGCGTTCAGGGGTCTCCGGCTGCTGAGCTCCAGCCAGCCCTCCCCTCCTTGTCATCTCAGGACCTGCAGATGCAGCTGGTTGACCCCGAAGAAGTCCCTGCCATGGAGCGGCTCACCCAGGAAGTGCTGGTGCTGCGGGAGAAAGTAGCCACGGCAGGGGAGCAGAAGGCAGCAGGTAGCGCCCGCCGGGGGATCTTGCACGGGGCGCAGGCTCAGGCCTGGCTCCAGTGCCTGCTCTTCCAGCCCTCGTGCCAGGGCAGCACTGCAGTGCTGCTGCCGGGAGGGAGCTGGGGGATGTGCAGGTGCGAGGATGGCGCTCAGAGGTGGTTTGGCCCCTCGGGGCTGGACTCTGCCCCTCGGGCGTTTCTAGCTGGGGGTGGCCTGGCACCGCTTGCTTTGTGCCTTGCTCTCCCCAGCTGATGCTGATGCTGGAGGGGCTGGTGGCGGAGCGGAGCGGTCTGAACGAAGCTCTGCAAGCAGAGAGGCAGCTGTACAGCAGTCTGGTGAAGTCCCACGCGCCCCCGGACAGGTAGGGCTCTGGGGGCCTGTGCTGCCGCCGGAGGAGCTGCACTCGCCCGCGACTTGCTTGGCGGGCAGGGCGTGTCCGGAGCCCCTGTGCCGCAGCAGGGCCGGGGCGGGGGGCGGTTTAAAGGCAGCATCCCTTCCCGTGACAGGTCGCATGAGGCCGGCAGGGCAGCAGGGGTTAATCTCAGCCCAGAGCTGACGCTCCTGAGTCGCTCCCCGGCTTTCTCCCTGCCCCTCGGCCTCCTGACATCTCCCGGGCTGCACATCCCGGGCTTGACCTTGCTCCTGAGACTGGGTGGGTGGGTGGCTTGGCCAGTCATTCCCCTCCGTCCCCGCGTCACTGTGGCTGTTCCTCCGCCCTGTGAACCCTGGGCCCCGAGCAGGGCAGCGGTAATAGCAAGCTGGCCAGGGAGCCGCGGTTCCTGCCCAACGCCCCAGGGCTGAGCCTGGCGCTGCTCCCTGGGGGAACGAGGCTCTGACCAACCCACGTGGGGCGGTGCTGGCCTGGTGCCTGCAGCTGGGGAAGGTCAGGGAAGCAGAGGGGGCGAGTGGCTCTGCCTGTGCAGCACTGATGAGCAGTGCTCAGCCCTGAGCTGACCGGGGGGGTTACCAGTGTGGGCCTTCCACGCAGCCTGTCTAACCCTGTTCCCTCTCTGAGCAGCCCTGAGCAAGGCCAGAGTCTGCGGGTGGAGCTGGAGAGGGCCCAGGCGCTCAGCGCACGGCTGGAAGAGGCTCTTGGCAGGAGCGAGGAGCGTTTGCACAGGCTGGAGACCCTGGGCGCCTTTGGAGGTGGGGAGCAGGAGAGTGTGCGAGTCCTACCCCGGCATGCCTTCTGAGCTGGCCTTCAGCCTGCCCCTGCCCATGGAAACGGCCTCTAACCCTCAGGCCTGGCTGCTCCGCTGGCCGGGAGACTTGTTACTAATGGTGCGTGTAGAGCGGCTGTGGAGCCCCGTGCCTGTCTCTGAGCCTGTCTCTGAGCCTGCCGTGTGGGGCACGAAGTGTCTGCACATTTGAGTCATTCCGCTCCCTGCTCTCCTCTCCCGCCGGCCCAATAAAGACTCCCTCCCCGCCCCTCCCTCGCAAAGCGCTGGTAAAGGTTCTGTGCCATCTCACATGCATGGGTGTGGATTTTTTTGTCCCCAAATCCTCCCCGGCGGCAGCCCTGTGCCTCACACACTGGCTGCCTCTGCCACCGCATGCCAGAGGGGTCCCCCTTGTGGGCAGGGAGAGGGGGCGCTCTGTGCCCGGCTACCTGGCCAGCCAGGGCCTGGGTTAGGTAGTTTCTTAGGGTCCCACCCGAGGAATGACCCGTTTCGGGCTGCAGCTGCATCCGGCGCCTGCTGCCCCTACCCTGAAATCTCCTTGTCTGCGGGGCCAGCGTGGGGTGCACTTGGCGTGAAATAGTCTCCCTCTGAAACAATATAATTTCAGTAGTTTAATTTCAATATACGTTCAATATTGGGTTTAGTTGTACTATTCCATCAGCAAAAAGTGCTTTCCCTGAACATTCATTTTTCAATATTAGTCCTTGTAGGGTTGCCAGGTGTCCGGTTTGGAACCGCACCCTCCGCTATTGGAGGATTCTGTTCGGGGAAAAAATTAAGAAAATACCGGACCCAAAATGTCTGTCTTCTCACTGGGTACGTTTTCTTAGTAGTGGGGTATCAGTGCCCAGGTGAGAGCTGCCTGGCTGGTCGACAGGCTCACGCTGCGTGAGTGCGCCAGGCAGTTCGCAGCTACGCGGGGGGGGACCCCATGGCCGGACTCGCTCGCCAGGACCGTGGGCGGGACGGGCAGCACCCCAGGATCTGCTTGTGCCAGGGTCAGTCCCGCTCCCCGCCAGCCAGTTCTCCCCCCTGCCCCCCTCCCGGCCAGTCCCCCGATCTACCCCTCCCGGCCAGACCTGCTTCCTGCTGCCCCTGACCCCCCCTCCTCAGCCCTGCTTCCCACCAGCTGGTTCTCCCCCCCACGTCCTCCCGGCCAGCCCCCCTTCCCTCCTGGCTGGGGGGGCCCCCTCCCCATCTGAGATCAAGCGTGTCCAGTGTTTTTTTGGCGCCACCTGGTACCCCTAAGTCCTTGAGGGTAGCCCCTGGTTTCCAGGGCTGCTTTGCACGCGTGAGCCAGGCTGCCAGGGCCAGCCTGGGCAGCATAGGTGGGTGCACAGGGTTCCTTTCCAAAGGGATTTCCTAGTGCCAGTCATGCTGCCAGCCAGCCCAGCGGGACTTCCTGCAGCAGCGTCTCGGTGACAGAGGGGAAGCCTACGCTTCTCTGGAGCCAGGGCTTGCTTAGGCCCCGCTCTGGCTCTGGCCCATCCTCGCCAGAGGGCAGAGCGGGGTGGCAGAGCAGCCCGGGCAGCCGAGCTGCGGTTCACTTCAGTGTCCCTGTGCACTGCTTCCTTCCTGGCGAAGGGTGAAGGGTGAGCTGCTCTAACCGGCTGTGGGGACAGACCAAACCGTGCGGGGCCTTAACTCCCCTGCGTGCGGTTCTGGGCAGGGCTGGGCCGGCTCCGGGCACTGCAGGACCGCGGTCCTGGGCCTGGTGGCCATGGCGTGCCTGCCCTTCCATTGCTCCGCTGGGGGCTGCTTCCGCAGCCGCCTCCTTTCACTCCAGGACGTGTCTCTTGCTGGTTAGTCCAGGTTTTCCCTTCCTCGCTCCGAGTCCTCTCTGCTGCTTGCACCCTGCGAACGTCCGCCTGCGTTCCCTCTTTCTGCTGCTAAGTCACCCCTCCCTGCTAACCTGCCCAGACCGCGCGCAGCCCTGCATGGGATTGTGTTGCGCTGCAGCCTTGGGTTTGCTTTGTGGCTTTTGGCACCCTGGCCGCCCATGCACCAGGAGCTGGAGTTTGGCCGGTTTCCCCCGGCTGAGTTCCCTGGGGCCTTCCCAGGTGCTGGGGAAAGCATTTGCATGGCCCTCTTAGCGCAGGGTCGGGGCTCCCCTCTGCGGGGCGGTGAGCCCCGTGCCACAGCTGGGCAAGTGCCAGAGGGGGGTCGGGCAGGAAGCCTGTGGAAGGGTGGGGACTGGACAAGGGTTTCCTTCCTGTCAGGCTAGTCCCCTGACCCAGCCGCTGAGCCTGGTGCTTCTGCCTGGCCTGTCTGTGCCCACAGGTAGCCCTGGGCCATTAGGCGGCCACGTGCCAGGACTGGCCACAGGTGCTGGGTGAGGGAGCATCACGTCCCTGCAGCCACCTGGCCAGTGAGAAGACGGCTTTGCTTCCTGCCCCTCCCCTTTCTGGCTGCGAGGTGCAGGGCGGCTTCCCGGCTCCCTGTCCTACAGGCGGGTCATGCGCCGCGGGGGCAGGCCTCCAGCTCCGTCTAGGGCAGGTGTTATCCCGGGAGCCCTGGCAGAGGCTGGTTCTTTGCTGGGGGAGCTGCGAGGACGTGGCCGGTCCCCTGACTAGCTGGCCCCAGGCCGCCTGCGGAAGGCCGGCTCCTGGTTACAGGCGCTGGAGGCTGCTTGCATTGCCTGCTCTGTGGCTGCCCAGCCAAAGGGCAGTTGTGTTCCCCCTCGAACGGCAGCGTTGGGCTAATGCTGCACCGGTGTAAGGGGGGGGACGCTGGCCCGCAGACGCAACGACGGCTCGATGCAGAGCTCCCAAGGCCAGCCGGGACCTGCCTGGCAGAGTGTCTAAACCACACCCCGCCTCGGTG